TCTTTGCCTATAATATAGAGTAGTGGCAAAAACCGATGGTTTTATTTGTTTATAAAGGGTTTTGAGATGAATGGAGATGGGATGGATGCAGTGGAAATGTATAAATTATATAATATTTACTTCGTCGGACATTTTCGGATTATAATCTTCTTGAGCTGTGAGATGTTGTCCAGTTGAAATCAATGTTGACAGTGAAGACGAAAACACGCCGGCTCGGTTTATATATGAGGCTGCGCTACGCTTGGTTGCTTCTCAAGTTGACAAAGGTCTGTATGGCTTCAGTCAAACGATTCAAGCTGACTTAGGCCAATACAGACCTATACTTTTTTTTTTGTTTAGGTATTGCGCCTTTTTGTGACTTCATGTTAGCTTTAACCAAAGTACAATATGATGTTGTACCAGTTTCTTCTGTGTAAGTTTCACAATCCCACGCATACAAAGTTTCAGGTTGTGGTGTTGGTGCATGAGTCGATGGATTAAATTCTGAAATAAATTTGCAGAAAAATGTTGCAGTATTAGTGTTATTGGATTTTAGTGCCACATGTACTATAGGCCAATCCATCTAACTCGATTACAAGAAAGGTTTGCATTAAATGTGGTGCTCTGAAATGGTTCAAGTCATATTTACATGACAGGCAATTGTGATTGGAGATAGTGCTTCTGACCCGACTGTACTTATGTATGGCGTCCCACAAGGATCAGTTCTCGTTCTTCTACTATTCTCAGCTTATACATCACCTCTTGGAAACATAATAAGAAACTATAATCTTGGATATCATTTATACGCTGATGACACCCAAATGTATTTATCTTAATCTTAATATCTGAATGAAAGTGAGCAGCTAGGTAATCTTGAACAATGTGTGGAGCAGATAAGACTCTGGATGAAGAATAATTTCTTAAAACTAAATGACGATAAGACAGAACTATTGAAAATGGGGACTAGAAAAAACTTTGCTAACACATCAAGTAATTCAGTAAATATCGGCGAACCAAACGTGTCATACTCACAATCAGTTCGGAATCTTGGTGCATTTTTTTATAACAATCTGTCAATGGACTCTCATATTAATTATATCTGTAAAACTACTAACTTTCATTTGTATAACATTGGTAAAATTAGGAACATGATCAATAATGAAACCGCTAAGTTGCTTGTGAATTCTCTTTTCACTTCCATATTAGATTATTGTAATTCTCTTCTATTTAATATATCTAAGGACCAACTTTACCAACTTCCAAAAATTTAGAACAAAGCAGCCAGAATAGTATCAAGAACTAATTTCCGCGAACATATTACTCCTGTCTTAAAGAATTTACACTGGCTCCTCATACATAAAAGAATTGAATTTAAAATTTTAACAATGACATATTCAAGCTTAAATGTAGAAAATACTCCTCATGATTATTATTATTAAGATGTTCGAATGTCAATAAAAGGATAACTTCAAGAGTAAACTTCCGAGACGATTCATAACAAAACAAATCCATTTCCCTTTGATTACTTTCAGATACCGAAATGCCGATGGTAACAGTTTTTACAAATGCAAGCAGGGCGCTAGTAACTGAAGCCTTCGCAACTGAACTTGGAAAATCTGTTGGTACTCATTTAAATCGACCAGAAGAGGTAGGTGGGGTCAATTACAAAATACCATTAGGATATATCAAGAGTCAGTCTGCCCGCTATTTGTACCCAGTGTAGACGCAGGACTCCCGAGGCTGGGGGTCAGACTGACTGTCGAAGTTGAAATTCAAAATGCAACAGCTCTGTAGAAGTGCATAAACAATCGTCTCCAATTGAGCTTTCTGAAAAGGATCTCCACGAGAAATTTTTTGAAAAATGGAGATGATTCGGTGCCTTCTGATACATATTTTGTGGCAAACCTTATAAAATAATGTTTCACCTGAATCCCCACTGTTATTGTGCTCACAGTTGGAGGCGGCTAACGCCGCCTAGTTAGAACATTTTATTTCCGATCATGTTGGGCTCGTTTGATGTTAACACAATTGACTTGAATAGAAAAGGTCATTTATTAACATTACAATTGACGTAGCAAAATGATATAAAACTAGTACAAATTATAATTAAACTAAATTACACTTGATGATACTAAACAAGTCCATAAACATCAAAGATGGGGGACAACACCGCCACCGTTTTGTGACCAACTGGAATATCGTTGCAATGGTTTCAGGTGTTACAAAACATTTTACCCTCTTATTCCTATTGTTATGCTTGTAGTACGTCACTGTTCGGGTTGTTCCAGAACAACTCATGTTCACCGGCGGGAAACCAACTCCATTTGCTCACGTTGACGTCATCAGTTTGAGTGGTCTAGGACCAGACAAAAATCGCGAAATGGCACCGGATATTACGAAAATAGTGGAAGAACATTTAAAGATACCGAAGTAAGTGGTATCAACCTCGTTAAAATATCCTCCAAACTTCTCGTCTCTTACCAGCCTCTGATAAATACGTTTGACTGTTATCGGCTGGTGGTCCTAAAAATATCAAAGGCTGGTAAAAGACTACACCTTTTACTTAGCCGATATCTGTAAAAAGTATCTTCCGAGTTGCAAGTTTCTATTTACCTAATTTCGCTATTTCAGGGGGTTGATTTGGATCTTGAATATATGTCATTAGTCTTTTGATACAAATATATGAAAATCGCATAATTCCTTCAAAAATACCTCAAACTATGAATTTCTATGTCATTACTAGTCCGAAACTTCTGCCTCTATTCCAGCCTCTGATGGATATTTTGACAGTTGTCAGCTAGAGTACACCACCCTATTGAAAATCAGAAAGATCGAAAGCTATTTAGTATGAATTATTACCCTTGTTCTTAAAAAAAAATTTCAAGGATGAACCCTATTGAAGATATTAATAAACTTAGTATGCGTTATTGCCCTGGTTTTTGAAAACGCGTTCAAGTTTTAGCTTAGTTTTAGGGAAGGGGGTAAAACGGGAAAGGGCAAAATAAAAAATGCGGCGAATCGGGAAGGGACATAACTGGAAGTGGCGAGATGGGAATAAATTGGGAGCGAATCGTGAAAGTGATGAAATGAAAAGGAGCGATATGGGAATAAACCCATAAATGGTGCGGGGAGAAAATAAAGGCACAGTCTGAACTACAAAAATAGGTTTAAAAACCCCACATCTACGGGCGGAAATACATTATTTAACAGGGTCTATATTTTCTGTCTCTACACCATCCAACATTTGTCCAAATAGCTATCAGATGCTGGAATATAGGCAGATATTTCAGTATATGAACACTATTACTGAATTAGTTGAGCTAAAACAAATTCAAGCTTTTATCTTGCATGGAATATGTAGTATTAGATTATAAGTGCCATTTTTGCATCATAAATCAATGACGTAACTTTACACTCCCATTTCATTGATATTCTATTTTCTTTCCAGAATTCTACTTACCTTTGATCGTATTGATCCAACAGACTGTGGAATTGATGGAAAAACATTTCCCACCTGGATCTCTCAAGACGAATGAAGACGGGTGCAACAACATTAAACAATTATCTGGAACCACCATTCTTTTCATTGATAGAAGATGAGGGTGGAGGATAGGAGATGGGGGCCAGGAGATCGGGGATGGGGGTTCAGTGTTAAAGAATCAAACTCCAGTCTCCCTAGACTAATAAATAGCTTTCAATGACGAGAGCTGAAGCATTATTCCTCATTAAGAATTATGGAAGTACTTTTAACAAAACCCTCTCATATCAAAGTATTATATAAAAAACAATACGATTTAAACTTCTAATTTTAATAAAATAGTTTGGTCCGCGTGGTGTAATTATGATGACAACATAGTCTAATTCATACTTGATCTTTCTATAACATACTTGATCTTTCTATAACATACATGTACTTGATCTTTCTATAACATACTTGATTTTTCTATAACATACTTGATCTTTCTATAACAGAGGCCCATCGATAACATAATATTTACTAGCCATTTATGCATGGAATAAGACCTACATTTTTTAACTTTTCACCTTTCTCCTCAAAAGCCCACACGAATCTCTGGATAATCACTGAAAAATCTCAACGACAAATCAACTCATATTATTCCAAGTTCCTTGTGAGTTTGGGGAAATCATTATACATGTAGATAGATAAGGATGTAGATAAGTTGGTCAAACGATATGTGGTCACCGGAAATATGGTCGGGCACAAGGTATTATGGTCACAGTAATATGGGCAAAAGGTATTATGGTCAAAGTAATACGGGCAAAATGTATTATGGTCACAGTAAAACGGGTAAAAGGTATTATGGTCGAGCACAAGGAATTATAGTCACATTAATACGGGCAAAAGGTATTATGGTCACAGTAACACGGACAAAAGATATCATTATCACAGTAATACGGGCGCAATGTATTATGGTCACATTAATACGGGTACAAGGTATAATAGTCACATTAATACTGGCACAAGGTATTATGGTCATAGTAATACGGGTAGGGTATTATGGTCACATTAATACGGATACAAGGTATTTTGTCACAATAATACGGGCACAAGATATTATTATCACAGTAATACGGGCGCAATGTATTATGGTCACATTAATACGGGTACAAGGTATAATAGTCACATTAATACGGGCACAAGATATCATGGTCACAGTAATACGGGTACAAGGAAAAATAGTCACAGTAATACGGGTTCAAGGTATTATGGTCACAGTAATACGGATTCAAGGTATTATAGTCACATTAATACGGGCACAAGATATTATGGTCACATTAATACGGATACAAGGTATAATAGTCACATTAATACGGGCACAAGGTATTATGGTCACATTAATACGGG